GAAGCCAGATTTCAACTCAGATCCTCCTGACTCCAGGTCCTACACTTGTATTCACTGCACCACTTAGCTGCCTCTTTTTCCTCCTTACTTGTTGAAATTCTATCTCTCCTTCCAGGTACTAAACAAGCTCCATTTCTTCCATGAAGTCTCCCTCACTTTTTCAGACCATGTTTATTATTATTATTATTATTTTCCTTTTCTGACCTCCTAAAGCAATTAGACTGTATTTTTAAATTTAAGTCTTCATAATCAACGACCTTTTATTGCTCCTTGCCACTACAAAGTACCATTACAATACTTTATTGTGGAAGCTAAGGCAGGTTTTGCTATGCAAGAAAAGCTTCAACTATTGGACTGGTAATAGACTATGTCTGCTTTCTGAGAACTAGCCTAGCTAAACCTGGTGAGGTCTATCACCACTGGCCACTTGGCAATGAATATTGCCATGAAACCCATGGACTCATGAGGACCCATGAAACAAAGAAATGTAAGGGAAGTCCATTTATCTATTTATTTATTTATTTGTTTATTCATTTATGTATCTATTCATTTATTTGTTCATTTATTTATTTATTTATTCATTTATTTGTTTATTTATCTGGCAACTGGGGTTAAGTGACTTGCCCAGGGTCACACAGCTAGTAAGTGTCAAGTGTTTGGTCTGAAGCCGGATTTGAAATCAGGTCCTCCTGACTTCAGGGCCAGTGCTGTATCCACTGTGCCACCTAGCTGCCCCAGGGAAGTTCAAACCTGAAAAGATTTTGCTGACATATTTGTGTGCAAAGCGAGAGATGTGGTTAGATAGGAGATAGACAATGAGATTGTCCCCTAAGCTTGAATGCTGTCTACAGGACTCAAGTGCATGCATGCATGGTTAGGGTTAAGGTGAGAGTCAGATTTAAGGTTATATATATATGTCATTGATTGTGGTCCTTCATTTTCAAAAAGGACCAAAATGACATCACTATGATGAGGTCAAAGGACAGTGTGTCTGTCTATGACTGATCAGACCAATACAAGCTCAGAAAGCTCTACAACAGGTTGGGCACAAGTGCTCCAGAGGAACATTTGGACAGTATATGTCCTATATCTATATAGATACATAAACATGTACAAATATTTATCCATAAAGTATATGTATGGATTATATGTACACACACACATGTGTATTATATATATATGTATGTATGTATATATATACATCCATTTGAATTGTGTGCATACATACATGCATTTTTAAATATATATATGTATATGTGTGTGTGTATATATATATATATATATATATATATATATATATATATATATATATATATATGATAAATTAGGGATAATCTAAGAGGGAAGGCAAAAAGATTAAGGAAGACTGGGCATTGGCATTATAGAGTGGGTTTTGTGGCAGACTGCTGCTTAGACTCATTGAAGGTACAGCAGAGTTTTCCAAATAAGATATAGAACTGTTCAAGTGTAATCCATGAAACAATTTTCTAAATGTGCAAAACCATTCACTGGCCTTCTTGCTGTTCTTCTCATAATATACTTCTCCTGATTTGAGACATATCCACTGGCTGTCTAGAATTCTCTCCCTCCTTATCTCTGCATTCTGGTTTTACTGGCTTCCTTTGAGACCCAGCTAAAACCTCACCTTCTGTAGGAAGTTTTTTCAATTCCCTCTTAACTCTTCCTTCTGTTGTTTATCTTCTATTTATCTCATTTCCTATTTACATGGCTTGTGAGCAATTGCTTGCATATTTTCTCCCCTGTTAGACTGAGTTTCTTAAGGACAGGGACTATCTTTTTATGTTCCCAGCACTTAGCGTAATCCCTAGCAAGTAGTATGTGCTTAACAGATTTTTATTGACTGACTGACAAAAAAATAAATAGGTTATTAACCGTTCTGATATCTAGTTTGCATTAATGATGTATGTGTGGAAATTCATTTATGACTATATCTATCTTGTACCAGAGAGCCAGAACTTAAAAATCTGATTTCTGATGTTTTGCTTAGACTGTCTACTATGAAATGAAACTAAAAATATGTGAAAATCTTGAGACATTTTCCCCATACTCACCCAAATTCATCCCACTTGAGGCCAACTCTACACTGTATTTGACTATTTTCTGGTTAAGTCACATCACTGTCTAAGAAGTTATCTGCCTAAATTGTATTGACTATTTGAATATTGAGTGAATGGTTTTCCCTTAATAGTTGTACACATCATACCAGGTATTATGTAGACATAGTCTACAAAGAATAAGCATAAAACTAGGAATATACCCATCGCAGTCCTCAGAGTTCACATTTTAAAGTGGTATTTATGATTTTCTAAGTTTGATATATCCTTAATTATTATCTCTAATTGAAGTACAGAGTTATTTAATATGAAATACAATAATACACATTAGAATGTCAAATATTAACAGTCTCTCAGTTTTAGACAGCCCAATAACAAGAATTTATGAGGACCCTACTGTATGGAAGCCACTGTGTCAAGCACTGAAACTACAAATAAAGGCCAAAAGCAACCCTTGATCTCAAGAAGCTCACAGTATAATAGGGAAACACCATGCAAACAACTATGCACAAAGACAATATATATAAAGGATAAATTGGAGAAGATTTGGAGGGAAGACACTAGAATGGAGGAGGATCAAGAAAGGCTTCTTGTAGAAGACGGGATCTTATATGGGACTTAAAGGAAGCCAGGGAAGCCATAAGACAGAGAGGAGGAGGGAGTGAATGGTGGAGGGATGGGATGCCAGTGAAAATGATCAGTTGGAGAATGGAGTGTCTTAGGTAAGGAAAAACAAGGAGACCAGTTTCACTGGATCTTAGAGTATGTGGAGAACTTGAAAGGTAGGAAAAGGGTCAGGTTTTTAAAAGTTTTAAATGATAGAGGGTTTTATATTTGATCTTGGAGGAAATGGAGAGATATTAGAATTTATTGAATAGGGGAGGTGACATCAAACTTATGCTTTAAGATCAATTTTACAATGGAGCGGAGCATACACCCATCTCTGACTGTGTTTATAAGACAGCAACATTTGAGTTGAAAGATAAAAAAAATCCCAAACTACCATTTTTATTTTTATGTAAAACTAAATCCAAGTCACTGCCTTTTTTCACTAAAACATTATTTGTTTTAACACTGCACAGAGAGGCCAATGTCTATTTTGATTTTACATGTGCTATATAAATCCAATTTCTAGGTTTCCTTACTGTCTGCCTTGATACACACATTTCATTCAGTTATTCTATTTGTATCAAAATCAGTCTCAAATTTTCTTATGAGAAGCTATATTCTCTTATTTCACTAGAATATAAAAAGTTCTTGCTCTTCCATTTCTCAGCTGTATACTATATCATGGTTTCTTGCTATCTGAACTTACAAGTCAAGCAATCAAATTGTGGATCCCCCAAACACAATGATTATATTTATTAACAGCCTGACCTAACAGGCAATATTATCCTGAAAAACAGAATTCTAAAGGGATTCTAAAGTGTTTATTGACAGAAACAAAGGTATTAAGCTAGGGTTGTATGACTACCACAAGGGCAAATCCAGGACTGAGATAAGATCATCATAAAGTTCATTAGTCTACATGAATAGTATTTAAAAATTCATGGGGTACCTGTTAACAGGGAGCAAATACACATTACTTTTTAGACTTTAGGGATTCCTTTTTATATATCCATGCCCCTTACTATAATGTATTTTATATTCAAATAGAATAACACTTAAAAAAAATTTCAGTCCAATACTGGCAAATTTCCCTGGTTCAATTTCAAGAAATTCATGACATAACATTCAACTCATTTGTCTGTGGAATTATTAGCTCAATGAAAAGGAAGAGGAAAAACAGAACAATGAGGGCAATTTAATAGAGCACAAATATTAATAGGTCCTATCCATCATGAATTAAACCCCTTTAATTTTGAAAGTTTACTGGATCTCTTGAATGGCACAGTGGCAATTTTCTATTTATATGCTACTCTGTGACCAAAAGCTGAACCAGAGTGAAGTGAATATTCTGAGGTGTTGCTTCCTTTTGGTGAATCATGTCAAGGAAAATAAAATGGAAAAATAGCTAACACATTTTATGCTATTGAACAGATAATCAAATTTCTTAAAAAACAAAACAAAACAAACAAATCAAGAGTATGTTACACTGGCATTTGGAAACCATGATGGCACATATAAATAATAAGAGAAAATTAGGGAAGAAATAAACTGCTACTAACCAATAGGTTGCTGATAATAGAACAGTAGGACTTTGATCAAAATGCTCAATTTCAACTAATCTTTTTAGTCATTTGAAAGAGAAATTTCCAACCAGAATATCGTTTTGTTATGAAGAAAGTCAAAATCTACTGCTAACCCTGTCTTTCTGGCTATTTTAGACATACAGCTAAAGTTCAGTTTAGAAGACCATCCCAAATAGTTATGGAGAACTTGGAGCAGGAAGCATTTTGAACCATTTTGTTGCTTGTGATGTAGAAAAATAATAGAATGAAAAAAGAATGTAGGATCAAAAACTAAATGATTACAAATGCTTGTGTAAGACACAAACCACTCATAAAGTATTCAGATCACCGATTTTATGGTAACATTGCAAATTATAAGAAATTATTCAATTTTTAAAAAATTATAATTTCTAGGAAGGAATATAAAGAGTAAAATGTGTACATTCTCCCATTGTTATTTTAATGCATGCTCTAAGGTAAGAAATGGTAATATAATGTAAGATAGCTGCTAATAAGCTAAATAATTTCCAATCAAAATTTTATATATCCATTGGGGGAATCAAGTGTCATTTATTTTATATTAGAGTTCCTAAATAATTACCATTATTTTGAATGTTTGCTATAAGTTTAAAGTATGGACTAAAGCTATTATTTTGAGTCAATTATTTTCTATTTTGATCTGAACTTAATAGTTGGGAAAAGCTGTCCACTGAAATTTGTGATACACACAAAAATAAAAATATGTTTCACTTACGGCCCTGATGCTTTCAAAATGTCCACGTTCCTTCTCAAAATCAATAGGCTGTCCCTTCAAAGTCCAGTAGAAAGAGACATCCAAACTGGCATCATGAATTGCTTTGCAACTGAGGACAATGCTTTCTCCCACTGTTAACTCTGTCCTCTTAGGAGTAAGTTCTATCCTTGTAGGTTCTATGACAATAAATGAAGGAAGAAATGGTGAGACTGATTTCCATGAAGCATTTAGTATTTAGCTTAACTTAAAAACCTACAACAGAACATAAATATTGCAATTGTTGAAAGTATATAAATACTATACTTTCAAATTGTTAATTGAAATAAATAGAACCCTGATAAGATAAATTATCTGCTTCCCAACTACAGTTTTGTATTAGATACATTCACTAGATAATGGAAATCCCACTGTGTAGTTCACTTGGTCAACATTCACTTAATTAGGAAATGTCGCTTATTCCAGAAGAGGAGAGAAGTAAGTTAATAAATGTTACTGCTAGATGATGCCTGAATAACTGTTCAATTTAGTGAAAACAGTGATTAAACTGATTTGTCAGAAGAAAAAAACCAACAGACTATTGATTAAGCCCAAGTTAAAAGTGCCCTGCTGCAAATCATGGAAATGAATCTTACTCTTTGGCATCTTGGCATTTTGGGCTAGAGAATGACATGCGATATTCTTCTGAAATATTGTATTAAAAACTAGGATTACATTGGAAAGACAACATAGAATTTCCAATCTGCTCTTTTCTTTTAGCAATCCAATGTTGTATTATGTTTTTGTGGACAAAGAGAAAGGGGAATATAAAATATGTACTTTAGTATCATGGTGGTATTTTTTGTCTTTTCCCCAGATCCTCCTGTCCTGACTCTGTGGTATGTAATAATGTGCGTGGAATCACAAGGCAGAGAGAATCCTATCTTTGCTGGTCTTCTAGGATCTCACCTATCTTGGGAGGCTTGTACTACCTCTGGAATCAGAAGACCTAAGTTCAAATCCTGCATCTGTGTGACCTTGGGTAAGTTACTTAACCTCACTCAGATTCAGTTTCCTCATGAATAAAATAAGGTGTTGGACTGTATTATGATATTATGATATCTGTGTAAATCCACAGAGAGTTCCCCTTTGTGATGTTCCTGGGTCAAAGCATCAGAAATATTAAATTCCCTAATATTTGAGTTACTTCTAAGGAGCCTTTATGAGTGAAAAAAGTACCATAGGACAGAACTTATTTTAAATATGAAATCTTAAAAAATTAAATACCCTGCATAGTACAATCAAGAAACTAATATCTTCAGAGAAGACAGAACACACAAACTTAATTTAATCACAATACAGTAATGTGAATAAGCAAAGATTCTGATTAACTAAGAATTAAGAAGAAAACCTTTTTCAATCTCTGTCACTGAATATGTTCTACAAGGATATTGGTCTCCTTTCTGTTTTAGGTCAGCTAGGTGGTATAGTGGATAGAGCAACAGGCTTGGAATTAACACAATTCATATTCCTGAGTTCAAATCTGGCTTCAGATACTTATAGCTGTGTGACCCTGGGCAGGTTATTTAACCCTGTTTATCTCAGTTCCCTCATCTGTAAAAATGTGTTTGAGAAGGGAAATAGAGTTAGCTTTTTATAACCTGACTATTATGGAAGTGTTTTGCATGACTACACATGTATAACCTCTATCGAGTACCTTGCCTTCTCAATGAGGGTGTGTGTGGAGGGAGCAAGAGAGAAAATTTGGAACCCAAAGTTTTAAAAACAAATGTTAAAAATTGTTCTTATATGCAACTGGGAAATAAGATATACAGGCAATGGGGTATAGAAATCTATCCTGCCCTACAGGAAAATAGAAGGGGAAGGGGATAAAAGAAGGTGGGGTGGGGGGAGATAGAAGGGAGTGTAGATTAGAGGAAAGGGTATTCAGAATGCACATCTTGGAATGGGGGAGGGGTGAGATGGGGAGAAAATTTGGAACTCAAAATCTTGCGGAAGTGAATGTTGAAAACTAAAAATATATACATTAATAATAAAACATTAAAAAACAAAAAATGAGGAAAAAAGTTTAAAATAAAAAAATGAGTTTGAGAAGGAAATGGCAAAGCTGTCCAGTATCTTTGCTAAGAAAAGCCCAAATGGAGTCATGAAGAGTTGGACATGACTGAAAACAACTGAACTGCTTTTGTGGATAGGTTTTACTTAATATAATTGAATTTGTCTTTGAATATGTGGAATCTTGCATTGCCTCAGGGTAATTATTATGAATCATACCAATGGTGATGATAGAGATCTATAGACAGAGAAAGTATAGAAAGTGGCTTTGTGTCTGTGGTAACCACTAAGCGTTTCTTTTTTAATAATAATAATACCAGTGTACCAGTTTGCTTTCATCTCATCTGTGTGTCTCATAAAGGCCAAGTCATTGACTCTAAAAGATGCCACAGAAAAAGTCTGGCACACTGTTTGGTACATAGTGGTACTTCATAAATGATTCTTCATTGACTGAGGGTCAAGCTTTTTATTAAGCACCTATATGCCAGAATTGACTGATAATGATGTTGATGATGATAGGTCACATTTATAACACTTCTAAGAGTGTATAAAGTTTTGTTAGGTTATGGAATCATAGGATCATAAAAGAATATCTGAAAAGGACCTTAGAGACAATCTAGAACCCCACAAAAATTAGAGTTCTAGTTAATCAAATTGTATTGTATGAAGGTTTATAAGGTAAAAAACAAAACATGCTCTGGTTATATTATCCCCTATCTATCCATTGAAATGTGTGGATAAAAGCATTGCATCATGTTCCTAGTTTTGTTGTAATGGGTATTGCTAGTTGGTATTCCCTGCTTCAAGTGTTTGCTTCTGTTGCTTTTAAACTATGACACCTTCATAATATTAGAGTTTATGTATGACATCTAGTACTCCTTTCGAGTATGCTGGGAAGAACAGATGTCATGAAAAACATCACAGTCATTGTTTCCAAAAGAAGCTACAGGAAAAGTCTGCCACAATGCCTGGCACACTGTAGACATTTAATAAATGATTTTTGGTTGACAATCAGTCACCAAGCATTGATTAAACATCTGTGTGCCAGGACTGTTTTATAATGTTGTTGAAAATAGGGCATATTTGTAAAATGTGACTTTCTTTACAAAGTGTATAAAGTGGTTTTGATAGATTATGAAATCATAGGGTCATAGATAAAGAGCTGGAAAGGACATTAGAGGCAATCTAGTATAGCTACTCTTCTTTTACTGATGGGAAAACTGAGATCTAGGGAGGTTAAATGATCTGCCCAAAGTTACCCAACTAGTAAGTGCCAGAGTAAGGATTTGAACTTAGGTCCTCTGATGATTACTATAGTTTGTCAAGTATTATCACTTTATCAATTATTAGTGTATTGTCACCATTTTACAAGTGAGAATGTCAAGTAGCAACTAATTGCTTTTAATCAGGTACAACTGATGCCCCATCTCCATTCTCCTACCCCCTGCCTTTTTGAAATAATTACTACCCACCTTAACTTGTTTCTAGACCAACTTCAAATGGCCATCATTAAAATGTGGTGGGTTTAATGTTGGTATGAAAACCAGATATTTATGTCTGGGCAACATGCACAATTTCAAAAAGTTGCCCTTTGCTTCTTTATTTTTTATTCAAAAAGAAATCAGTATTCCTGTGGCAGACTCTCTATAGCTCTCCCACCCCTGCCAAGATTCAGAAATTCATAGATTTAGAGCTGGGAGGGAACTCCTACACCTAGTTCAACCCTCTCTTTTTTTAGATGGAAAAAAAAATTGAGGTCCAGGGAGGGTGACTTGTCTGAGGTCCCACATGTGGTAAGCATCAGAAATGAGATTTGAACCCAAGTCCCATGATTTCAGAGGTTGTGCTCTGGTCTCCCTCAACAATAGAAAGCTAGTATTTGTCTATATTAGTTCTTATGTCCCTCATACTCTATGGGTACACATAGGCATAATATTAATATCCTTTTGTTTATAAGCAAAAAGTGTTCTGATAGGGAGGGAAGCATGAAATTTGTAGAGCATGTCAAAAGAACTGCTGGGTTCTCTTACCTTTTACAAATACAGAAGCTAGGATTTCAGCAGAACCAAAGACATTTTCCCCTTGGCAAATGTACTTTCCCTCATCCGATTTAGAAGCATTTAGGATCCGGAGATTCCCATCTGGAAGAATAGCTATTCTGAAAATGATCAGAAAAGGAATTTTTCCTATATTGCTGCAAATCGATTAAGTTGTAAGAAACTCTGATGACATCTGAAAACTCTTCTACAGTAATAATAAATAAAACAAAAATCACTGTTAGAGTAAGTGATGGCAGGAGAAACATTTTACCCTTCCAGGAAGTTCTACAACCAGCCTAGGTTACATCTTCTATTCAAATGGGTTATGGAGCAATGGGCTATTTTTTTCTTTTGACACTTACTGACAGCTAATTTGAAAACTTGTGGGAAAAAGGTGACCCTGCATTTGGTTATTAAAACTTGCTACTATAATATTTCCCAGTGATATTTTAATATTAAGCACAACTATTTCCCCTCAAACTCAGAGTGACCTTAGAAATCAAATATAAAAAGATACCAGGGTAAAAAGTAGAGGAGGACAGGCGGAGAACATAAAATTAATTGTATACAGCCCAAAGATGATTTATGGCAGTTGCTCTGCAGTACAAACTGTGCAGCAAAGGGATGAAAATGAGATCTGCAGCTTTGGTTGCTCACTCGGCAATTTTCTCCCCTAAGAACTCGATCTTCAGAGTTTGAATTTGGGCTTTCTCAAGATGTTTGTTAAAAGATGACCTCAAGTCCTGGATGGAGGTGGAAAATTAATGCATTATTAAAGATTTCTAAAGTTCAAAATTGGGATCATCATCTTTATTAGCCTTTGGGAAGGCCACTGATTAGCACTGGAGGTATGCAAGTATTTCAAGTAGATTATCTATGGGGTCTTAACTCCTGTGCTTGGCTAAATCTTTAACAAATAATAATGAAATGACATTTCTATAAGTCTTTAAAGCTGGTCAAGCACTTGGACTATATTACCTCATTTGCACCTCAAAACAACTTAAATTGGTATGTGAGATAGGTACTACTATTTTTTCCATTTTAAAGATATAAAAATTTGAGTTTCAGAGAGGTTTATGTTCAGGGTTAGGCATAGGACTTGAACCTAAGTCTTTCTAACTCCAAATCCAGTGCTCTAATCACTATGCCAAGCTATCTCTGGTAGCAGCTATTTCTCCTTCTTTGATACTAGAAATTTATCTGAAGGCCCCATACTACCAGTAGTACTATAGTTCCCTGAAAAAGGCAATATAGTATAGTGGCTAGAGTTCTGTAACTGAAAGGCAGGAAAACAAGGGTTCAAATCTTGCCTTGATCAATTACTAATTGTGGAACCATGGGCAAATCAATTAACCTCTCTGAACTGTGCTTCTTCTTTTATAAAACAGGAATAACAATTACTTTAGTAGTTACTTCACAGGGTTATTGTAAGACTCAAAGAAGAAATTGTAAATGATAGTTTTTCCTCACAGTAGCCAGGGCCTTGGCAGTTATTCTTCTCTAAGAATTCCTAAGGAATTCTCCTAATAATGAGCATGTGGAATAATTTCATCCCCTTTTGATCATCAGGACCTATTTCTGACATAAAGTTGCAGCCCTGTTTTTTGTAGTTATCTCTCCTCCACAGTAACTAATAAAAAATTCTCTTTTCTCAAAGCCAATATTCATGTATCATTCTCATGTATACTCATGTATCACGTACTCATTCTAGAGGCATCCCTGAGTAGAATGTAGGAAAATAATGTTTATCCAACAAAAGGGGAATGGTTAATCATGCAATTATGATGAACTTATATGAAGAATATAAAGAAATATGAAATGGATTTCATTAAAAAATTAGGCAAAAAACCTACCAGAAGTTCATAGTGCATATAAACTATGAGCATATAATAGAAAAGTGAATGAGAATGGATGGATAAATGAAGAATCCCAAAGGAATTTTGGAGGAAGTGACTGAAAAGTTATGACACTTTAAACACTGAAATTCATTTGTTTAAATATAAATAGTTGCAAAGCAAGTTGATATTTGTATTGATGTTTACCATTAGGTTTATAATAAATAATTTTTTAAAAAAGGAATATTTATTTCTGCTAGTTCACTACTTATTAGTTCCCTATAGAAAACAGATTAAGTGCTTTGTGACTTCCATGTTATCAACCTAAGACATCATTTTCAGCTTTTACTTTAACCATTTGATTCACAATAACATTCAAAGTGGCAACTGATGCAAACATATGCATATGTGAATCCATATACCTTTAACCTAATGGTTAACAATAACAATAGCTAGCATTTATGTAGCACTTTAAGGCATGCAAATGTTACCTCATTATATCCTCCCAACATTCCTGTGAGACAGGTACAATTATTATCCCCATTTTACAGAGGAGGAAACTGAGGCCCATAGAGGCTAAATGACTTGCCTGGGATCACACAGCTAGTATGTGTCTGAAGATGGGTTTGAATTCAGGTCATCCTGACTCCAACTCTAATGTTCTATCCACTGTATGCCCAAGCTGCCAGCTTTTAATTAGATGAACTCTAGCATTCCAAAAACAACAATGACAACTCCTATCTTTCTGTGTCTGGGTTCCAGTGCCTATGTGGTCCTGGAATACAGGCAGACTTTGTTGTCATCTCTGTTGAGATCAGTTCCTTCTCCCTCCCTCTTATGTTCTCATGTTTTCTTCTTTCCAGCTAGTCCTCTCCTATTCCTCACCCACTTGCACCTGACCGACTCCAAAGCTAATGGGTCACTTGAAAAATTATCCTGGATTTGATTCTCAAGTGCTAATCTCCATATCATACAACAACAGACCTATGGAAAAGTCCAAAAATGTTCTACTGAAATATTCTCCAATCTAAGAATATGAGCATTGAAATTTAATTAGTTATTTCATAGAATCAGAGAATCTCAGAGTTATCAAGTACCTCAGAGACCATCAAAAAAATTCATACCCTTTTTTCTGGCTGGAGGATTGTTCCTGGACCAACATTTCAGAAATACCCCAGCCATGGATCACTTAATTCTCTACTCCCCTGACCATCTTCTCGACAGCATCTCTAATTGCCTTCCTGCCCCATATATACCTTTTAAACTACCCTTCACACCACTCTCTTTACTACACACCTCCCCACAAAAAGAAAAAAACCTCATTCTGGAATCTTGATCAAATGTACTCTACCAATTTTCCCAGAAGGGACGGGCCAATCTCTTGGCTTATGACTCTGTTTGCTATCCCTACCCCTATCCCTATCCCTATCCCTATCCCTATCCCTATCCCTATCCCTATCCCTATCCCTATCCCTATCCCTATCCATCACTTCTGGGCAAAAGGGTCTCTCCCTGGCCACCATTCTCCTGTATGTTGTCTCTCCCTGTTAGAATGTAAGTTTGAGGGTCACTACTACCTGGGCTTTTGTAATTTCACCTCCGGTGCTTAACACAATGTTTGGTAGGCACATAATAGATGCTTTTAATTTATTCTTTTATTCAATTTAATTCATTCATTCATTCAAAGAATCTTTTCTACCACATAAGCAACAACTTTGTTTGAAGACTTATAGTGAGGGGAAAACCTGCCATTTCTTGCCTCCTCTAGTGAGGCTGGAACTTCATATTTGCATATCTGTAATTGTTAGGCATTTATTCTTTATATTAAGCCAGTGATTCCCAACGTTTTTTATTCTATGAGCCTCTCTCAATAACAAAATAATAAAAAATGTGTTGTGAATCCTCAGGGTAATTTTATATACTACTTATAATATTCTTTTATATTTATTCTTTAGGTACTTACAGTAAGTACAGTGATAATTTTTACCTCCAAAATCTCCAAATTAGTTTATATAATATAATTATAAAAAATCTGTTCTATCTATAATTATTAAAATTCTAAATACAAAATTAGAAAACTAATATAAAATAATTATGAATATTTTATGTGGGACATTTTATAAAAAAAATTAATCCAGCAATACCTTTTATGTCTTTCATAACTTCCCCTTGACTTTATTTTACAAATTGTGTTTAACATAAATAATATTCTAATAAAATGAATTACAACTTAGAAGATGCTTAGCATAATGTAATGATCAGATACAAACTTAATCTGGATATTGGACATTTTCATTTGGAAAAAAGTTTGCAATACTTCGTTCAACACTACACAAATACAATCTAAAATTAAGTTTTTTCCCCCTGTGTTTTGATTTAAAACAAGAATAAAGTGAAAATGCTCACTTGTACAAATATGTGGTGAAAAATGAAAGGAAAGTTTTATAAAATTCCTTGCTGAAATACAGAGATTCATTTTTTTATCATTTAGACAAAAAATTTGTAAGGCTGCTATTTATGGATTATGTTTATAGTTCAAAAATCTGTTGATGTGTCAATTAAATTATCTTTTTCATCTGTTGTCAATTAATCATCCAGAGAGTTGTTAATTCAAAACAAGTTATTAGAAATTTCATGAAAATATTCATTGAAAGTAGTTTCTAAAAATTTCAGATGATCACTATTTTTCTTGATAACCTGGTCAAAGATAGTTCATTTTTAATAAAAAAAAAAGGAATGTCATAAAGTACTCTATTGTTTTCAATTTTATGGTTCCAAAACTTTGATTCCTTAATGACATGTTTTACTTTATTTTGATCATTTAGTATGTTTGTATTTGCACCCTGTGATAATGTGTTATTTATTTTTTAAGAAGATAATTACTAAATATACTATTTTTTTTAGCCATGCCATATCACATATATGCACAAGTGAAAAGGATATTTAGTGAAGAAGACAACTAACTTTTCTCTCAGTTCAAATACTAGTGGTAAGAATTCTGCCATGGTAGAGACATCTAACATTTGTGTATGTTAGAAGTATAACATGCTTGCTACTCAATGCAAACTTCTGAGTACAGAAGTGGCGTTTTGGTGCATTATGATATTGTCCATATGACAATCTATCCTGGGTAATTTAGAGCAAATGGTGTCAAAACAGAGGCATTTTACAATTTATCCTTGAAGAACAATGCATAACCATTTCCACTCATTCAATAACTACTCATTTGTAGTCAGTTCTCAGTGCTACATTTTTGGAAGGACACCAACAAACCAGAAAGTGTC